GACCCGTCCACCCCGCGCTTCCGCGTAGCAGGGGGGGGGGGGGGGGCATGGGACCTAAAATGCCCACTGTGTGCTAAAGGTAGGCTCAGGCTGCTTAGAGGGGGGACTGTGGAGGAGTCCGAGTCTCCTAAATCTTGCCCGTGACACCAGTGAAGCTCAGAGAGGTTGAGATGCTTGTCCAAGGGCACACAGCTGCCGAGGAGCACAGGTGGACCTAGAAGCCCTGCTCCAACCACACCCCCACAGTCGCAGCCCCGTCAGGGCCTGGTGACTGCTGGTCCTTGACCTGCCATGCCGAAGGGGGTCTGGATTGGGAGATGAGCCCATTTAAAAAGCCCAGAAGGGGACGCGTGTGGCTTGTACGGCTGGAGGCTCTGGAACATTTTTCCCTTTGCTTGTGGGGCGCTGCCCCTGCTCACGAGAGGATTCAGACGCGGGCTGTCCTGAGAGGAGTCCTATATGCCATGCCCTCGGCCAGCCTGTGAGCCTCCCGGGAGCACTGCGGGGGAGCAGCCTCCTTGGGGAGTGGTCCTGCTCCACCACCGCTGGCCAAGCGTGGGACCTGCCCCTGCACCACCCTTCCTCTGGACTCAGCTGGGGAGAGGCCTGGAGGGAGCTTTCGGCCAGGTTCAAACACAGGTGCCCGTTGGACACAGCCGTCCCTGTGTTCTGTGAGGGGGTGCAGTGTCTGCACCAGGCTTGGGCGCGCCTGGCCCCGAACCAGCATCTCTAGTACTGCTGAGTGCCGTCGCACCGGCTCCGCCAGGTCCAGCAGGTCACCATGCGCCCCAGCCTGCACCTGGCCTCGCTGTCGCTGGGCACAGTCGGCCCACTCAGAGCCAGCTAGGTGAGTGCCTGTGCTCCGTCCCCACAGGTCTCCCTGGCCGCCGCCGACCTCCTGGCTTACTGCGAGGCCCACATGCACGAGGACCCCCTCATCATCCCTGTGCCCGCGTCGGAAAACCCCTTCAGGGAGAAGAAGTTCTTCTGCACCATCCTCTGACTCCGTCCATGCTGAAAACGGTTCTGCCCGGACGTCTCTGTGGAGACCCTGCAAGCTCTCAGCCTCGGGCCGGGGCGGCTGCGCCCGAGTCATTTCTCACTTGTTTCTTTGGGTCCTCAGTGCTGTCCTCCTCCCCATGTTATCCCCACCACTGGCAAAGCAGCAGGCGTTTCATAGTGAGCCGCCGGGGTGCCCTGGCCAAGCGAGCGCGTGCAGGGTCTAGTGTTTTGAAGCATCTCTTGCCAAGTTTAAATGCATCAATAAATGTCGGTGATAACTTACAGAAAACCGTCCCTGGATACCTCCGTCCCGGTCAGTCTGTGTCTGATTACAACACTTTGACCCCAGAGGCAGTGCCACCTCCCTGACTGGGCAGACAGTTCCGGAAGTCGGTTTCTGGCATTCCCAGCACCCTCGTAAAAGCAGACCCTCGTCCCAGGGTTGGGACGGTTTTCCCACGGTGTCTTCCTGGGGCCTTGCATTCCAGACCCAGTGGTGACACCTGTCTCTTAGCTTCTCAAAGCCTCGGGGAGCAGGCAGGTGCTGGTGGCCGTCACGCAGCGCATGCGCACCTATTGGGCTGCAGGTGCCGCCTCAACTCCCCTGGGCCGCTTGTCTGGCCGCTCGGTAGTTCTCGCATGGGCTGCTCTGGAGTGGCCTGGGCACTGTGGGGTTTCACTGTGCCCTGCCCACAGCACGAGTCCCAGTGACAGCCGTCACCCGTCTGAGCACTAATGGGGTCACCATATGTGATCCTTCACAGAAACTATGAGGGCGTGGAGCTGTCTTGGAGCAGGGGACTGAGGCCTGTTGGGGCCCGAGGCAGCCAGCAGGAGAGCAGGGACCGGGAGCAGGCGCCCCAAGCCCTGCTGCACCCTCCCGCCTCTGCAGGTAGGTAGGCTGCAGACCAAGTGCACACACCAGCAGAGCCGGCCCGGCTACCACCTCCTGCCCATATGACAGCACACGTGTGTCCACGTCGCAGGAGGCACCCCGCAGGGCTGCGTTCTGGCAGTGCGTGGAAGAAGGCACGTGGGCGCCCAGGGACGAGCCAGGCGCAGTGAGCAGCACTGAGGCCCTCTGAGTTAGGTCCGCTGGCCACCACAGCCACCCTCGCACCCATGGTGAGCTCGGCACGGGAGCTCCGTCTGTCTGCCCTGCCGCGTTCACCGGGAGAGCCTCTCCTGGCTCTGGGGGCTCTGTGGGGTGAGGGGAGCCGCACCCCTCCTGCCCACCTGGTTTGGAGGAAGCAGAGGGCGCTGCATGGACACAGATGCGGCCCTGGTGATTGTTCAGACCACACGTGCACCGGAGGCCAGGACGCCACACGGGAGGATAAGTCCTCTGGGGCGAGCCAGGCTCGGCAGTGCCCTCCAAACTGGTGCATATCTCCGCTGGGTGGGGGACCCTGCACCTTCTTCCTCTGACCCCTTTGGCCGGGCCCATCTCAATTCCCTGAAGGCTGACGGCATGGCCAGAGTTCCAAGGCTGGGGCTGGTGGGGCTGCTCACTGGAGCAGAGGGGCCTTGGGTTCTCCCGTCCGGCTGGCGGCTGGAATCTCTGCACCCCACAGCCCACATCAGTGTCGCTCACCTGACCAAGCAGTCCACGGAGCTCTCTGAGGCTGAGGGCAGGGGAGCTTGGTGGGGCCAAACCAGGCCAAGGGGAACCTGCCTTCGTCTCCAGCCAACCCCCCAGGTTTTCATTGGTACCCCGCAGGCCGCCTTCTGCCTCCTCTCCTCTCCTCCTCCTGCGGCCTCTCTCCCTGACATTCACCCAGGGGTCATTTCCTGTCCGTCCATGTTGCCTCTTCCTCCCAGACCTGGGCCCTCTGTGGACCGTCCTGCAATGCTCTCAGCTCAATTCCCTCTCGAAGGCGAGGCCACACACGTAGGCTCAGATGTGCACATGTGTGAGTGGACGGTCAGTAGGAGAGGGCGAATGGCCTGCTGTCCTGGGGGGTGTAGCTGCAGGGACAGCTGTCGCTCTGCAAGGACAGTGACCAGGAGAGCAGACGGGATCCTCGCTTTTTTTTTTTTTTTTTTTTTTAGAGGTTTTTGCCTTAAGGTACATGCGCTCACCAGAGAGAGAGGAACACAGAGGGAAGGTGTTAAGTCCCTGCCCGGAGGTGGCGACACCGCAGCCCTGTCCTTCCTCCTCCTGGGATTTTGGGCATGCGCGCACATGCACAGGTGTGTTTCAAACCACTGGGTCCAGGGTTCAAACCGTGGTTGGCCATCTGTGAGCCCAGCAATGTAACTGCTGCACCATCTGCGGGCCCAGGCCGTGGTGATCAGGTGAGTTTGGTGCGTGGAAATCAGCCGTGCACTGCGGGCACTTCCCGTCTGTATGTAACACCTCAATACAAGCTGGTCTTCCTGGCCAGCCATCAAGAATCCTGCTGTTGGGACCAGCAGATGGCATAATGATTATGTCGCTGAACTCCCACCTACCTGCCTGCGGTTCAAGTCCTGGACCTGGAGGCTTAAAACTCACACTGGGCACGTTATATGTGCGTGCCCAAGAACCCGAGCGGAGAATGGAGGAGAAGGGACTGCAGCATGGCCATCACCCCTGGGGAAGATTTCTCGCTTTCTGTCTCCTCTCTGTCTTTCTGGTGAACACACGCACCCTACGAGGAAAAAAGAACAAAGAACCCTACTGTTTATTTTCTTTTCTCTTTTGCTACTTTGCTTAACTTTTTATTCCTCTTTAGGCGTCATCATCAACATGATTTTGACAACAGCTAACATTGGGGGCATCACAAAAGCAGGTCTGACGGCCTTCTGAAGTACAAAGTGCTCACAACTGCAGCCCCGGGTGGAGGGGGCCGCCCCGGGTGGAGGGGGCAGCCCCAGGTAGAGGAGGCAGTCCTAGTGACCTAGAGTGGCCTGAGACCTGCCTGGCCTGGGTCATAGTCACACCCTGCTCCCCCTCGGAATCCTGCGCTCCATCCACATTGGCCATCCAGGCTGGTCACTGCCCGGCCTTCCACCTAGGGGCCTGCGCAGCCGCAGGCCCCAAGCCCGAGCTGGCACCAGCACTCCGCCCACCGGCAGCCCGCCTGGATCTGTGGCCTTTGCCTGCGCCCCGAGCGCTCCAGCTCTGCCTGCTCCTTGTGACGGGTCCACTCTGGGCTCTTAGTCCCCCGGAGCGCTGCCCGACATCCCGTCGCTGCTGTGGGTTACATTTCTCTGAGCGTCAGCCAGGCAGCTCCATTCCACCCCCTTCCCCACCGCCAGAAACACCCAGGACAGGCTCTGGCTTCGCTGAGACCGTGTGCCCGGCCCTGGCAGCACCTGGCCCTGCAGGAGCTCTGCCAGCACTGGCTGAGCAGGCACAGAGGCTGACTGGTCGCTGGACACTGGTGTCTCCTTAGGGGTTCTCTACAAATTTCCCACGTGCGAAGAGCTGCAGGAGACGCTGTGGAACAGTGGCCGGGGCGGGGGGCCGGGAGCCCGGGTGGACTG